TGTTGGGAGAGAGCGCATCCCCTTTTATAGATGAAGAGGATGGCCTTACAAGTGAGAGGGAGAGAATATGTATGCTACTAAGTCTTGTTGCCCACGCCAATGGGTACAAGATGATGGTAGGCACCCACAATACTGTTTAATGTCAGATGCACGTGGAAGGTTGCGTCGTCTTCTTCTAGTATGGCAGACGTCGGTGCCTGCCATACTGTTGATGCCGAGAGGCATGCAGGGGGTTTTACCATGTTCGCCTAGTACGGTAAATGCCGGCACCCATAACACTGTTGATGCCCAGAGGCATATGGGGGAACCTTACCGTGTTTGTCTGGTATGGGAGTTGATGGTGCCCACAACACTGTAGGGAAAATGTCGGCGCCTACAACACTGCTTGGGTTCTGTCATGCCAGGGAGGTCACAGGGTACTGTCCTGCAGGTGTACAGGGTACGTTCCATGGTATTACGGTTGACTTGAGTGCCCTATCTTGCCTTCTCCATCTGTTTCTTGGTTCTTACCGAGCGGGCGTCCCCGGTCGGTTGGTTCTAGTCGGCCCTGATTGCGCCAGTTGGAGAAAAGCAGTGAGCAAGGGTTTGGCGCATCCCCAGTTGGAGACGTGGGTTGGAATCAGAAGTGGTGTTTGGCTAGGCCTTTCGGTCAAAGAGGCCGTCTGGAGGCAGGCTGGAGTCGGAGGCGAGGCCTTCCGGTCGGAGAGGCGGGCTAGAGTCGGAAGCGGACGCCGTTCCTTCTCGGCCAGGCCTTCCGGTCGGAGATTGGATTGTCCTTTTGGCTTGTCATTTAGGTGTTTTGGGCCGGCCCATGAGTTGCACGTTGCTCGCAACGTTGTCTGTTGGGCCGAGCCTTTGTTGGGAAGCCGGTTCTTGAGGGACCCCGGGTTTATGAACCCAACACTATCTCTCCATATTATCAAAATTTCTACATGGCTTTGCATTAGACTACCTATAAGCTGCTGGCAAGTAGGGATATACTTATTCTTAGCTAAATCACAATGGGGGCATTTGGATATGTTCAAAATTGGTTTCTCATCGTTGTTCATGGCCTTGACTGATTTTGGTCATTGAACCAATGCTCATCAGAATATTATTCTTGTTGGCGTCGTTTGCACACTATAAGTGTTTGATATACTTTATGGCATCATCATTCCCTCAAAAAAAATGATGGCATCATCCAATAGTAATGAACCAAGAGAAGTTTAAAATAGATTAATCCTCAATGTTTGATGCATATATTTGTCTGTCCAATTTTTGTTGTTCACCTGATATTACCTGAAGATGAGGCTGAAATCTTGTTCGTTGTGGCCGATGCTCGCTAGCCTTTAGTGCCGCCATTTGATGTTTGGTACCTTTGATGATATTATCAAGGCGCACATGAAGGCTAAAAAAATCTTCACTATTCTTGGTACCCTTTTATCTTCCTTCTAAATTCCACCGAAGCCAATATTGCTAAAATTTGTTATTTGGCATCATCTAATTACATCGAGTTGCCATCTATAGAAGCTTTTATTTGCTTCTACGTGTATTGCCTTCATTTATATCTAGATTAGATTATAATATACTTTTTTCTTACCATATTGGATATAAATTTAATTAAGTTATTTATTAATTGTATTTGACATGAATACTCTATTTATTCTCGACACTGAGATCATCATAAAATTCAGTAGTGGTATTTTTTTCTTTTTCTGATTAATCTCATAATTTTTTGGCCTTGTATTTGACATGGACACTCTATTAGTTTATTCGTGGTTGCTAGACCATCACAAAGTCAAATGGTGCATATTCTTTTCCTTTTCTAATCAATAATAATTTTTGGGTCTTGTATTTGACATGAATACTCTATTTGTTCTTAGTTATTAGAATATCATAAAATCCAACGGTGCATATTCTGTTTTCTGATTAATCTTGTAATTTGTAGGCCTTGTATTTGATATGGATAGTTTATTTATTCGTGTCTGTTAAATCATCATAAAATCAAAAAATGCATATTCTTTTCTTTTTAATTAATCTCATGATTTCTAGGTCTTATATTTGACATGGATACTCTATTTATTCTTGTCCGGTAGATCATCATACAATCCAATGGTGCATATTCTTTTCTTTTTTCTAATTAATCTTGTGATTTCTAGATCTTGTATTTGATACGTATACTCTATTTATCCTTGGCCGTTAGATCATTGTAAAATCCAATGGTACACATTTCTCTCCTTTTTCAATTAATCTTCTAATTTCTAGGTCTTGTATTTGATATGTATATTCCATTTGTTCTCCGCTGTTAGATCATCGTATAATCCAACGGTGCATTTTTTTCCTTTTTCTAATTAATATCGTAAGTTTTTGGCCTTATATTTGACCTGGATACTCTTTGTGGTTAGATCATCATAAAATCCAACGGTGCATATTCTTTCTTTTTTCCGATACTCTATTTATTATTTGTTGTTAGATCATTATAAAATCCAACGATGCATACTCTTTTTTATTAATCTCGTAATTTCTAGACACTCTCAACGAACATGGTGGCTCCTTCAACACTGTCGTATCAATATAATAGATGACATTGCATCGGTTCGAATAGAGTTTGCTAATGCAACCATCCAAGCGTGACATCATGGACTTTGAAGGAATGCAAGAATTGTTTCATAAACTGGAAGATAAAACGGTAGATGGAGGATCAGTAGACACGTGTAGAGGGAGCTGTGACGTACTATCATGTTTGTTGAGTTTTTTTTGTCATGGTTAGTGGTTTTTAATGGAGGGAGTCATCATAGTTTATGGTAAATCTTTTGTCAGTCCTTTCGAGAAAAAATAAATGAGATGAGGTAGAATGGCTGAGTTATGAAAACCAATCGTGTGACACATGAATATCTTGAAATAAAACTCTACTTACGTTATTATGTAAATATAATAAAAAATGATGTTCTTTAATTTCATGATGATTTGTGAATGTCGTACCTCTCTACGCCCTTTTTTCTTTCTACTGGTCTGCAAGCTAAGTCACCTCTTCTTTGAAATTTTTGTTTTATTTCGTGGCGATGTTCAAATGAAGCACAGGAGTTGCCTTGTTCATCATATACCTCTGATTAGCTAGTAACACAGCTCCTCAAAATGCAAAAGGTTGCAACCTTTTATTGCACGATAGGGTTTGGCAAAGTTGGTGTTCTTTTTTTTGTACGGGTGGCCTTCCTAGATAGAGTCCTAGACCCCCAACATAAATTTAGCAAAAAACATAATAAGAAAGACTGGTGCATTAGAACTTTGGGAGATTATCTTCACACAAGAGAAAGTTAAATTTGCCCCAAGGACATGTGCTCCCATGCACATCAGTACATCTCCATTGGATGTGCACTGAGGGCAAAAAAAATTGTGTTCAATCAAAAAAAATCCTTCAATGATAGTACCATTACATGCACACACTTTTGGTGTAGAAGTTTGTGCCATTGCAACCACCAGACATTTTTTATAACACCGCCACCGCTTCAAGTAGATTAGTACAAAAATGATGCACAAAACATCATAACCACCTAGCTAACTTCCCACCCACAGGCCACATCACACATCATTCTCTCTCAAATCAACAATATTTTCTAACAAAAAGCCATACATCTCTCCTTTGCCACAACTAGCTAAGCACACTGTCACTAGAATCAAATTGTTTTCTCCTTTCATGTCAACTTAGATAAGCAATGCACAATACTTAGTTTTAATCAGTACATAAACATACGTCGTGATCACTAATTCAAGTTCAATTGTTACTAAAAAACTGCAGCCATAACATCATTCATTGGCTAATGTCAACTTCACTCGATGGCCCTTTCTCTCTCTCTTTTCGTGTTGCTTCGACTTTTCCATTTCATGAATGCATTGAGGCATCCTCAAACCCCAATAACTTGAGGCATGATAGGCCGAGGGAGTAAAGTATTAACTGTATGAACACTACATAGCTAGTCCACCTTCATTTGTGTGGACTTAATTCTCTGAGGATGATTATTTTCCTCAGGAAAAAACCAACTTGCACATCCCTTTCGTTCTTCACCCCCATTTTCTTACGTGGAGTTGGACAACCAACAAGCCCTATATTTAACATTTGGATGTCATTCAATCGATTCAATCCACTTTGGTGATCACTCAAATGATGATGATGTATACCACACAAACAGTGATCCTCACACATGTCAAGCGAGAGGCATATGTTTACACAGGGAAATATATATGGGTGAAATTTAGCGGTCATGGAATATTTGAGTAGCAAAATTAATTAATATTTTTTTGTATTTGTTGGTGTGGCATATTTGTGCAACGTTCGCTTTCTAATCGCAAAAATTCCAAAAGGTAGAATAATATGAACACATTAATTCCAAATTAAATTTAGAATAAGCACTGTAAATTGTTCATGTCACAATTCATATAGGCCATGCAAGGCTACATTCCAAAAGGTTATTTGAACAAGTGCTATTTTTAAATATGGTAAGTAGTTCGTGGTATACATGGTAGCATCCAAAAATGCATGTATAACTGTCCATGCTATTAATACTTATGGCATCTAGAGAAGGCAAAAGTTCCAAGAAAGTAACTGTGCATTTGGTTGATCAACTCAGTTATAATACATCACGGCAGCAGTACTTGCTTGTACCATTTATATATATAAGCTCCCACTTCATCCATCTATCCATCCATCCATGCACAGTTACACTGAACCTTAAACCTCACAAACAAGTAAGCACCGAACCACAACCACCACCAACCCTTCTCTTTCTCTCATGGACTGTTCAACACTATGTAGTATGTACACAACATTTGTCTCTTGTGTCATGCATGCCTAGTTTATGTTACATGCATTGCATTGTGCAACTAGCTATACGACACAGTTAATGGATGTACCCTTCATGTGCTGCCATCTTCTCCTTCACTTCACGTCTCCATTGTTTCAACATGTACTGTATGTGCGCTCTAGAAATGAAATGAAAAAGGCCATCAGCGTCCAGCGAGCTCGATCAAACGGTTTCAACTGCACCTCCTCCTCCTCCTCCCACACCACCACTAGCAACACTCTTGTGCCCATCGCCGGCGGCCGCCGCAACCTTGCCGTCGCCTTCCTGCGCCTGCTGCGTGCTGCTGTACTCACCGTACAGGTAGGAGGAGAAGCCCCAGACGCAGAGCACCATGGCCACGGCCTTCTCCCAACCGAACGGGTCGCGGAACACGACCACGCCGCCGATCACGTTGGCGGTCAGCACGGCGGTCATGCACACGCCGCTGTGCAGCGACGACGTCAGGTACACCATCCCGGCGGTGCCCATGAAGCAGGCCTGCCACGTCACCACCAGCGCGGCCACCACCGCCCAGTACGCGGCCGGCGAGAGGTCCCAGCGCTCCAGCTCCTCCCGCCACCCACCAGCCGCGGCCAGCCCGGCGAACGCCAGGGCCGTCGCGGCGGCCTGCATGATCACCTGCACCTCCACCGCCATGCGGAAGCCGCCGGACACGGCCCTGCGGTACAACAGCTCCATCACCGGCAGGTAGGCGGCGAAGAGCCCCGCGGCGCCGAGCGTGACGGCGAAGCCCACGAAGTACCTGGCCCGGCTCCCGCCGTCGGGGTGCTCGGCCGAGTCGGACGATCGGAGCGCCAGCAGCACGGAGTTGAGCGTGAGGAGCACGACGGCATTGAGGTTGGAGAAGGTGAGCGGGTGGCGCACGATGACGGCGGCGAGCACGAGCGTGAAGGCCAGCTGCGTGGACAGCAGCAGCGAGGAGGTGGACACGGGCAGGTACGAGGAGCTGTAGGAGAAGAGCAGGTTGTTGACGCCCATGAGGACGCCGATGACGACGCACGCGGCCAGCAGCCGCCGCGTGAACCACGCGAACGGCCGGGGCTGGGAGGCGGACCGGGACCGGCCGGCATAGACGGGCACGAGCAGGACTGGGAACCCGACCGACTGCACCAGCGTGGCCACCCACCGATCGCACCCGCCGTGCGCGAAGTAGTACCGGGACAGCAGGCTGGACGCCACGGAGCCGCCGAGAAGCGCGGCGTAGTTGGCGCACAGCAGCAGCAGCCGCCGACTGGCCACGCCGTTAGTGGCCGTGGCGTCCGTCGACGGCGCTGGCATGTCGAGGAGGGGGGCCGGGGTGGTGGTGGTGGTAGTGGGCATTGGCGAGCGGAGTTGGTTGTGATGGCAAGGTGAGCTGAGGTGAGGAGGGTGCGGTGGTGGGGGAGTATTTAAGCGAGATAAGTGCGGGTGATTTGCGTGAGATTAGCTGTGCTCTTTTAAAAGAGGAGGCGATTACGACCCCTTTTTTTTGTAGTTGATTGATGGGGATCAAGTAAATGGTGGGGATAAAACTGGGGGATCGATTTGTTTGGATGGGATTTGATTATATTTTCTAGCGATATGTTTTGTTATTGCTCTCAGCAAATTCGTATCCATCTGCTCGATAGGATCCTGCTTGGTGGTGCACTAGATCATTGCAGCTAGCTCAAATCTCAGAGCTTGGTAGCATGAGTGATGGATGAGCAAATTGACCACTATTTGATCACCAATGGTAAGGAGTGTATGTGATTATGTGTGGTCATGATCTTTTATTTTCTGGCCCCTCAACTTTACCAAGAAATTCCATTGGCTGTCGAGGAACAACATGGCCACAACCACAGGTTAATTAAAAAACTTGAAACTCCTCTTGGTTTGGCCACGAATGATCTTTGACAAAATTGTTTTAAAAAAAGAGGATATGGTTATATCTCCGTGCGTACCCAAGTTTAAATTCAATATGTGTTGAGAGTAACTTAAAATAAGATATGAGGTTTAAATTCTCGACTTGATATGGATTCTCGTATTTTTCTCTTTTTTTTAAGGTGCTCTGCAGTTCTTTTTTGTTTTTATTTTGTGTTTTGATGTTAATCATTAAATTGTACTCCCTCTGTCCATAAAAAAATAAGAATGCAATTCTAAAATAGTGCATAGTTAAAGAATCTTAAGTTTGACCAACTATAGATTTAAAAAAGTATCAATATTTAGAATATCAAATAAGTATCACTAGATTTGTTATGAGATACTCCCTCCATACTTAAAAAAATGAAGTCATTTCGGACAAAGCTTAGGTTAAATATTGGGAATATAAATCATGAATAACTTTTAAGTTGTTGAGTTTAGAAATGTGAAAATCATAGGTATAGATTTGTCTTGAAAAATACTTTCACAAAAATTTACATATATCACTTTTTGATAAATATCTTTATAAAAATAAGTAGTCAAAGTTATACTTTGGAGACGGTGTCGCTGTCCAAAATGACTTTATTTTTTTTTAGTATGGAGAGAGTATATTTTATTTTATATATATATATATAATGTATATTTGATGTCATAAATGTTAATATATTTTTGTCAATAAAATTGGTCAAACTTTAGATACTTTAACCAGAAGTGCATCTAGAATAAGATTCTTTTGTGAACGGAGATAGTACATATACTATTATAAAATACTATTTTTGTAGACACTATTGAAGCAAACATTATTCATGGACAGCGACATTACTGACATCAAATATTTGCAGCATATATATCGAACTCGTGATATTATTTTGAAGAGAAATCCATCAGCACGACCTTTAAAATTTCAACAAATTAAAAGAAATTCAAAAGGATATTGATGGTCCAAGCTCAAAAGCGTACATTGAAGACTGTCTCCAACAAGGAACCTATATGGGTGAAAGGATCAAGATGCCCAAGAGAAGGGTGAATTGAGCTAATTCTAAATTTTTTTATAATAATTAAATCATACAGTTAGCCCAATTAACCCCTTGTATCTAAAAAGTATTTCTAGTTGTTCTACCGCATAAAAGACTTGCAATCTAAGTTCCAATCCTACTCTAGCATGGCAATTCTATGAATTATAAAGACAAGAATTGAATTGCTCAATGTAAATGCTCAAAGTAATTACTCAAATTAAATAGAGAAGGAGGAACGCGGCGATATTTTACCGAAGTATCGGAGAGTCGTCACTCCCCACTAGTCCTCGTTGGAGCACCCGCGCAAGGGTGTAGCTCCCTCTTGATCCGCGCAAGGAACAAGGGCTCTCTACGGGTTGATTCTTCGCCACTCCGTCGCGGTGAATCATCCACAACCGCTCACAACTTGAGTTGGGTCATCCACAAGCTCTCCGGATGATCACCAAGCTCTCCAACCACCACCAAGCCGTCTAGATGATGACGATCACCAAGAGTAACAAGCACGAACTCTCACTTGACCCCGACAAGCCAAGAGAGAAAGATGTATGCACACTTTGCTACTCTTGATCTCACTAATGAGGGCTCTCTTTGAGATTCTCGAATCTCAATCACCTCACTAGGACCTTGCTCTTCTTGGCATTCTTTAAGGTGTGTTTCAGCTGTTGGAATGAGCATAAGTCACCCCACACACGAGTGGAGCTTCTATTTATAACATGGGCTGAAAAATGAACCGTTATGTGCCTCTACGGGTTGACCGGACGCTCCGGTCAGTTCTCCCTGAAAACCAGTGATTACAGTGTGACCGGACGCGTCCGGTCACGATTTCCCTCTCTGGAACCTTACTGTAAACGATCGGACGCTGGACCTCAGCGTCCGGTCACATGACCTTCCAGCGTCCGATCGCACCGAACAATTACACCTCGGTCAAATGAACTGACCGGACCCTGAGCCAGCGTCTGGTCAAACCGGAGCCAGCGTCCGGTCAGTATTTGACCCTCCATTCACTTCCAACTCTCGATCATGTGTGAATGAAGTTTGCTCCATTGGATCTTAGTCATATTTTGGAGCTACCTAGTGCTAGTTTTAACAAGTGTGCACCACACCTAACTCACTAGACTCACCTAGGTCAAGCTACCCGTCCATACCCCCCTTAATAGTACGGCTAAAGGAAAAATAAAGTCCTAAACTACTCTAAGTGTCTCTCCAACTTCAATCGACACATAGAACTAGTCCATCCTTAACCTTGTCGTCCATCCTTTGAAAACCGAAACGATTTCCATCGTAGGGGCATGACCACCATGATTGCCCAATCGATCTCCATTACCATGACCTAACTTAATTGCCTCTGCAAAACACACATTAGTCATAGTAATCTTGTATTGTCATTAATCATCGAAACTCAACTAGGGGCCTAGATGCTTTCAATCTCCCCCTTTTTGGTGATTGATGACAATACCACCTCGAGTATGTGAAAGAGTTGAGGTTTTTAACATGCTTGGATCATATAAGCTTTTGTCAATAAGAATAAAGGTGTTAGTCAAGCTTATATGAACCAAGCCAACATAATGTACTCAAAAGATATAAAATAAGCATGAGTACAATAAATAAGGCTCATTTGCATCGGAGTAAAACATGGAAGCAAACGCAAATGAGCATAGCACAAGTGATATGACATATAAATAATTCAAAGTAGAGAGCACACATGTCATATATCACGGTCACGTAGATATCACTATCACATATATATAGTTCAAGGCATGAAAGTAAACACACGATGAATGCATAATAGTGTATCACACATAAAAACTCCAAATGTAATAAATAAGCTAATATAATAACTAAGCTCTCCCTAAATACGTCGTTCCCCCTGTATCTATCATACTCGATCCCTCTCCCCCTTTGGCGTCAAACACCAAAACCTAAGGGTCGGTCGGCGGGGCTGCAGCGGACGAGCCGGACGCTGAGGTACGAGGAGCGAGCTGGAACTGGTCACCATCATCATCTGACCCTGAGCTCTGAGTAGTCTAGCCCTCTATAGCTGGAAGTGATGCTGTAGCAGTCTGGGTTGGATCAGGAACTAGAGCTGTTGTAGACTGAGCTGGTATGGCTATAGTAGGCTTTGATGATGCCACTAAGGAAGGGAGCATCTCTGTAGTCCCGGTAATAGGTGCAACTGTAGAAGGACCTAGGACATGTAGATATGGAGGAGTGGACATCCCTATCAACTCACTAAATGAAGCACCAAGGCTCCTAGACACGGTGGTCTCTGGCACTAGCAGCGAAGACGTCCTAGCCGGTGTGAAGCCCGTCTGAAAATGTGTGAACTACGGGGCTAGCGCTGGCGAAGGAAAGTACTGGGACACCTGCTCGGTAGGAGAAGCAAACGGTGCTGGTGGCTGTCCCTGACTCTGAAGCCCACTGGGCTGTAACGCTGGAGTCATCGATGTAGTGGCTGCCGGACCAAGCTGGGGCGGAGGCTGTGTCGGTGGAGCCCCAATGGCTGTCACTACATGCTGCATAAATCTAAGGAGTTGCTGCTGCATGAGTATTTGTTGCTGGTGCATGGCCTACTGCTGCTGCTGTAGAGCCTAAGTCTGCTGCTGAATAGCAAGCTACTGCTACTGGATCGCCTGCTACTGGCTCTAGAACTCATCATGCCAAGCCTGGAACTGAGCAAATGTAGCGGCGGTCTCCTATGCCTGATGTGCCTGGTCCTGCCTCATACGCTCAAGTATGGCAAGTAAAGTTGGGTCTGTCTGCAGGGCAGGTGGCGCTGAGCTGGAGCTGTCGGCCTCATGATCATGTCGCTGTGGAGGCATCCGAGGAACGGGCTGGTAGTCATCATCAGAACTGTCACTAGGGTCACTCACGACTACACCCTCCTGCTGAGCAAGCTCCTCCTCCTCAGTAGCTGCTATGCCCCTGATAATATCATCCTGCTGGGCTACAGTCTCTGGCACCTCAGGACATCGACACGGCTGATTGGGTGCTATAGGTGTACTGTGCCTGATCATCTGTGTTATGTTATAGGCAGGAAACTCTGTGGTGGCACCACTGTACTCAGCAAGCATCTCTGGCGGCCTCACTATGACTGCCCTATGGATAAGCCATGTGATCCAGTGAGCATAAGGTAGCTGCATGTGTCCTCTAAAGCCCTCAGCTATAGTGTCCTCCATCTCTGACAGAATAAGATCCTAAATATCAAAGACTGTCTGCTACATCAGAGAGTTGATCAGCCACAACTGTATGCGAGTCAAGCCCTCGCGATACCCCATCCTTGGTAGCAGTGTCCTCCTCATAATGGCCTCAAGTACACGAGCAGTGGGAGTGAGATCACTAGGGTTTCTCCTCGACCCTTCACCAAAGGGCTCCTTGAAGCAGTGACAGACAAGATCTGTAGGGGGCACATTACCGCCATGAGGGCGT